ATTTGAGTTACGATGCACTCACACCAACATACTCGTCTTGCAATACTAAGTGATGAGAGTTAATCGGAGGTATCTTAGTAACATGAAGCCCCTCATGACATTGCCTTGATGAGTAACTCAGGGGATGAATAACAGCTCTTTATTACTTTACCGCACATGAAAAGCAGAAGAGTAGGTCTGAAAATGGACATGCATCGAACTAATGTAGTGTCCAACAGTCTCGGTAGAAAACAGTGCTTTGCGATAAGTGGGGGGACGCTGGAAGTTATAAAAGAATGTGTCTGCTTATAACAGGTAGTAACCATGGCACCGGACTATGCGAATGAAACAACTAGAAGAACAAGGATGGGGTGCGTTAATTATTAGAAGAAAATGACGTTACAGTGACTAGCTCACTGACAAGAAGGTCTCAATATGCTTTTATCGCAAACCCAGACGGCTTCTTGCTCATTGGCCATGGCTTCACACACCTCACATAAAGTTTGTACAAAAGAATCTACAAAGTATAAATGTGAACATTAAAAATGTAATTGAGACTAATGACTCGAATTGTCGTGTTACAATTGAGTATGATAAAATATTCCCCCCCAAAAGCCAAGTTACACTCTCTCAAACTTTTATATAACATATATATTACTTGGAGCATGCAAAAACTAAAATTATAATAGCCACAGATGCTTCAGTAAATAATCAAAAGGCAGGTCTAGGCATTGCCTCTGATTAGCTTGACTGGTTCTTTTCAGCGAGACTGCCTGATTTTACTCCAGTTTATGAAACGGAGCTCGTGGCAATTATTTTAGCTCTTCGAGAACTTCCGTCAAATCAAAACAGTGCAGCCATAATGACGGATTCTTTTTCAGTTTTCCGCAGCTCTGACAACTTCAGAGAACTCTCGAATTCTAAGGACATTCAAAACATTAGTACCCCCGCAGTTGAGACTTCTGAAATTACTATGGGTTCCGGGACACTGTGGAATAAGATTCAATGAATTGGCCAATTCCTTAGCTCGAGCCGCACTTGATGGCCCAGTTTTATCCACACTGCCAGATGTTGAATATATTACAGCAATAAGATATCGAAAATCAGCAACTGTTAAGATAGAAAAACTAACTACATAGACAGAATAAGCTTGGATGTCCTGCCCCCCCCCCCCCTAAACCTGTATCTACACAGAGCTGGTCAGATAATATCTCCCCTCTGCGCATTCTGCAGAGAAATGGAATCACTAGAACATTACTTTTTGTATTGTCGCCGATACGCTATACTTAGAAAAAAAATTACTAGTTATTCCATTTTTGAAAATAGGCGTTAGATTGACGGCGGAAACTGCACTAAGCTATGGTGCCTCGATTTCGGGACATTGCAGGAGGGATGCTTTTAATGCCGTTTGCGATTATATTCAGGCCTCCAAACGTATACGTTTGTGATCTTCAATCAAATACTTATTGTTTATCACTCCCCCCCGAAGTTCTAAATTGCAAAGTGAAATAAACGCAGCTGAGTGGTAGTCACAACTTCTGAAATCTCGAAATTTCTCAACTTGACTTTTCTATTTTTTTCTCGTTTGCTCTCTCTTTATGTAGTTTTCCTTTTATTAGTCATATTATAATACAAATTCATTACACATAGTTAAATTGATCACAGAAACACTGCACTACGCTACCTTGGCCAATCCCCCTGAGTGGGTATGAGGCATCAATTCAGGGATACAAGCAAACAAACAAACTAGCGCGTGTCTCGGGCTTGTCATTTTCGAACGGTCAAAACTGGACGCGTTGCAGCAGTGCTCTGGACAATAAAGTCACACCTTTTTTCATCTTAACAACAAGAAGGCTTCCGTTCTTCTACATTTCGTGGTGCCGAAACCAAAGAATTAGTGATCCAAGCGACTCGGCAATGAAAAGGACTTCCACAGCAACAAAGGTGTCTCGGATCAAGGGCAAACAAAAATCCAAGGAACTTTGCATACGCGTCTTTGTAATGAGGCAAGCCGTCTGATATCATTGAGCCAGTTTATCGCCTCGGCCCTTCGAGTTCTTCGCGATCGACTGAAGAACTGTAACGATGGACTATGTGTGCTCACGAAACAACTGGATGGACTTCTCACAGATAAACAAGCAGTTGAGGACTACCTGTCGGTCTTCGACTATGAAGACAACGTGGCAGCAACGCTGTCCCTTCTCTCGTATCACATCAGACAACTTCAGCCTGAAAATACGGTGAACCGAGGCCTGTCTATACTCAATGATGATGCGACTATAAGAACGGCTTCGGAAAACTGTTCCATCGGTGATGCTTCAAGATTATCAAAGCTCGACATGGTTCCCTTTAACAAAATAGTGCTACAATGGCAGCCTTTCGGGGACGTTTTCAAGCATGCCGTTCATACAAACGCCAGCATGATTAACTCCGCAGTATTTTAGTACCTTAAAATTCTTTTGGTTGGACCAGTGACCAAAGCGATCGAGGAAATTGAGGGGACGGATTCTTCGTATGCAGATGTTGTCGTAATTCGGACCAACCGCTTCGTAAACACAAAAATCATCGACCACAATTACTTGTAAAACTTTACAATGCTAAAGCCCGTAAGAAGTTCACTGAGGTGACCAGCATGAGAAATTTGTGAGATATGGTGACTATTAAAGTGAAAAGTTTCAAAGCCCTTCGACAATCAGAGGTTTCATACGCTGCGATGCTTATCGACATTCTGACTAAGGTGTTCCAAATGACATCGAAAAAGAACACTACAAGCGACAGATCTCACCAGAAAGGCTCAACGAGATTCTTTCGTCAGAGACGTACCCTATTGCAAAAACCAGCGTCCAGCGCCATGCCTGATTATGAGCCCAGTATGGCGCTAGTACCAGCGCCTCCCAGCGCAGGTAATGGGACGCTGGGGCGGCAGCGTCTCAGTGCTCTGCGCAAAATGGCTTCACAAGGTTAAAACGGGGGTTCTCATTCACCATTATAAATAAATATATAGGAAAATTGCGCGCATTCGCATTGAAAATGAAATATTACAAAAAACAGATTGTCTATTGCCAGGATTTGAACTCGTCACTTCCTGATTTTGAACCGAGTACGCCACCCACAGCGCCATGCCATTTTTTTATTGCCTTCTTGACTACAGGTCATGCTAATATGACAATCACTATCACACGTGTTTCATGCGTGATAACGCGTCAAACAAAGATATTACATCTTCAACACAGTCGGCAGTCGTATACACATCTCGCACCTTTATAACAGCTTCCACAAAACACTAAATACCCGATAGAACTCTCACATCACAGTGTCTGTACGATGGCATACTACGCCAAACCGAACGAAGACCAAGTAAAAATATAACATCCAAATTTTGCACAGAACTATCACAATGCAAAAAACGAACTACATATGGAGTAAGAGGTGAATCTTTTTTTAAAGTCCTCTGTAAAATGTCCCCAAAAATAGCGTTCTTACAATCAATAAACACATGTTCAATGGTCTCAGGTTTGTTACACAGGGAACAGCTGCTTCTCTAAGGGACAGAAATCCCTCTCTCTTCAAGCCACGTTTTTACTGGCAAGGTTCCCGTATGAAGTTTAAAAAAGAAGGTTTTCACATTGGGTGGTATACACATGTTTTTCACTCACTTTAGACGACATGACCATATGATTTTTCATACTTTGAACGGTACAGGGGCACAGGAAAGACATTCTGTATTAGGCTTTTCATAGGGCACTTTCTTTTCACATTAGTTAGGTAATCTATCGAAAACCTCGCCCTTAAAAAACGATATGACAACACAACTTCGCGCAAGAACGGTGACAGGGTGTGTCGTTCTCGCCTGTCTGAAGATACAAAGAAATCAGGCATGTGGTGTAACAGCGTTGTTTGAAACACAGAACGTAAAAAAAGAGTTTCTCTGGTCTCTAATGAGCAGGAAACGTTATATTTACTTGGTTAAGAAACAGATGGCACAGAGACAGCCCTCCTTGCTTAACTCGCCGAAACAAGTTCGTTCTAGATGTTTTCTCCCACGTAGCTCCAGATGAACGTGGTGAATATCCTGTGGACTTTGAGAATGCTTTTACGCGTACAACTAAGTACTTGCAAAAGGTACATAATTTAAGGAACCAGAAACAGGTTGCATACAGCTGACCGAGAGAAAATTGATAAGTCACGACCGCCCCATCATTCGGCGGTCGCACGCAGTTCTTCAGCCTTTCCAAGCCAAAATGCTTCACTGTCTTGATACCTGTCCAATGGTACCCCTAGGTAACGGCTAGGTGTCGTGAGCGACTGAATATTTCCAAAGAAACTGGGCGTGAGGTCCCAATTACCATGCCATAAACGAATGCTTTCCTCTTTGTTCATTAAACTTCCACTCGTGTCACAAAACCTGTGAGTGATTTTTAATAACGAAGTGACACTCTCTCTATCAACAGCAAAAAATGAAATATCGTCGGCGTATGCCAAAACACGCACTTCACATGACTGCAACCTTAAACCATTAATCCCTGCGTGGTGAATAACTTTCTGACACAATGGCTCCAAAAAAGAGCGAAAAGCAAAAGACCTAAAGGACACCCCTGGCACACGGAGGAAAGTACTTGTATGTGCTGTGAGAGTTCTCCATTTACAATTAAATTTGTGGTTGAACTTTTGTATGCCAATCTAATACCTTTACATATGATCGCACCAAGACCAACGTACTCAGCTAGCATGAAAAGTATATGTGTGGAACCATGTCGAAAGTCTTGGCTAGATCAATTTGCAACATAGCTACTTTTAGAAGCGCAACGTCACAATACTTCAAAATGCTCCTGGCAACATGAATATTCGTGAATATGCTGCTACGCTTGATGCCACAAGTCTGATGTGAACCGACCAACTTGTATAAACTCCTTGCAACCTCCTAGCCAGAACTTTCATAAACACCTTATAATCTACGTTTCTTAGCGTGATTGGCCTGTATCCTGTCGCTTTGCGTAAAACATGTTGTTCTTTCCCTTTAGGAATCAGCACGGTGTGTGCCCGATTAACGATGGAGGCAGAGTTTGGCGATCTAAAGACTCTGAAAAAACCTCATGCTATGCAGCAGCCATATCCTCCTTGAACGCCTTGTAAAAGACGGCATTATTGCCATCTGGACCAGGTGATTTGCCCATGCCAAGATCATCAATAGCCTTCTCAATTTTCCCCATACTAATAGACATTTCCAAAAATAAATTTGTGTCCTCAGCATTAAGTGTCGGCATTTTTATCAAGAACTCATCTACAAAACCCGGCTCCTTTGGTTCGCGATAAGCAAACAAGTCCTGATAATAGTTTTCAAAAGCTTTCATAATATCTTTATGTTCTCTCAATATTTTATCATTCCATTCTATCTCGAGTATGTCGTGAGCTCGCGCATATGCCTTTTCATCGGACAAGGCTCGCTTTTTTGGGGCTTCACCCACGAGGTATCTCGCAGCTCTTACTCGTATAATTGCGCCTTTATACGTATCTTCTTCAAGACATTCAATTTTGTTTTTGACAACCTGTTGTTGATGTGCAAATAAGCCCTGGTTTTCTGCTTCAATTTTCACCAAATAATTTAGCTCTGCCCGTAGCTCACGTTCCTGTTTTCGAGCTTGATACTGCATGTAGCAAGCACACTCTATTGCCTTCATTTTTATCTTTTGCTTAAATAATTCCCATCTTTCCGTCGCACTCCTTTCTGCGTTTCTGAAAAAATTCTCGATTTCCTTCTTTGTCTTATCTACAAAGCCTTCGTGCATAATTATCTTAGTATTCAATTTCCATGTTTCCCATACAACCTTCTTTGTGCACTTTCTACCTATCTGAAACAAGACTAAGCAATGATCACTGAAGGAAACAGCGTAAACATCATAGTTCTGACATAAAGGTACCACCTCAGAACAAACATATGCTCCATCTAGTCGTGCGTGACTCGAACCTTGAAAATGTGTGAAGTGTTGGTGACTGCCACCCTTCGCAAACACAGCTACGTGATGTAAAAAGTACTTATTAAGGCTGTCTCCAAGCAAACCAATGCTTTCATCACCTAATTTAGCAGTATACGTGCAATCTTCCAGGGTCAAAATTAATCTTCTAGGGCCATGCCAGAACATGCTTGTGAGGTTGTAAAATGGCTATTCATCCGAAAAACGTGCCGTGCAACTTCATTTTTACAAGTCGCACAGCCAAGACTGACACAATATTCCTTTCCAAATAAGAGTTGCGTCTTGATTAGGCAGTCACCAATGGCTTCCGGATAGAGAATGACGTGCAGATATTAGCAAGAGTGCAAAGTTTTTTGAAGCATCCACGTCTTACCTCTCAAAAATCTTAAATTGACTGGAGGAGCAGCCACAGATTGTCAGCTGTTGCTGCCGATAGTTTTTTTTTCCTTTGATAATCGGTTCTCGCACTTGCTACTGATCAAACTGTACAGATGATTTAAATGTCTTATTGGGTAGATATCCACAGACACGAGTAAATATTCAGTATTTCTTACGCGCAAGCGATGATGTAGCAGTACACATCCGGCGTGCCAGATTACATTTTTGCAGTTATATCGATACCTGCAACTAAACACCGCCGAAAAATTGACTGATGCGATCCGCTGAAAAGATATGCCAGTATGTTAGTTCACTAACGCGTACCGAATTTCCAACTCAAAATTGCGTATTATTACCCTCAAGTCAGAGAAGTACCAGCTCCTACGCTCAAAAGGAAGCTTTCGGTGACAGTCTACGTTGCTGAAAGCACAACACATCGATCGTCACCGCTTCTTGTGACGCGGAGAAATTGTTGATTTACGCTCAGGGATGGCTAAACTGTACTTTACAGTCGTTCTTACACTTTAGAATTGTGCCTACCTAAAGTAAAGAGCGCCGGCAGCATCTACACCACCGCGGCCGGCATGGTAGCCCTCGCTGGGACGGGGCACTGATTAAGGCTGCTCTCGAAGCAGCTCAGTTGCGATGCTTGAAGTTTTTGCATTTTAGCTTTGCAACATTTTTAACTGTTACCTAAACTTCACCTGAAGTAAGTGGAAAGTCAATCAATGCCAGAAATGCATTTATGGAGTGGTGATCCCGAGCGACAGCAGTTTGCCAGTGTACAGATATATGCAGTTACATCAATACCAACAAATTAAAAAAAACATTGAAATTCCAATGCAATCCGCTGAAAACGTATGCAAGGGAGTTAGTTCACGAAGGCGTACCAAATTACCAACAGAAAATTGCGTTGGTATGGGGATTTATTGATGTTCACAGGGACTGGGAAGATAGCAGCAGCAGTAGGCAAAGCGTAGACAGGGAACGAACAGCCGAGCGAGCCCAGCGATGGCAATGTGCTTTCGCATATGTCCGATTTCGTTTCTGTTTCTCGCCCCCGACGATGAAGGTCGGAAGATGGCTTAACACGTTCAACCACATATTTAACAAGATTTGTCTGTGCAACCAAGTGGTAGGGTCCGTGATTCTTCGGAAGAAGCTTAGTCGAAAGGCCGGGAGCAGGAACTGGCGGGACCCAAAGCCACACGAGAGAGTCGACGGTGAAAGGGTCAGGAGGGATCTCGGAGTCGTGATGCTGTTTTTGGCGACACTGTTGGTCGTAGGTGAAAGAACGGGCCAGTTGTCGGCATTTTTCGGCGTGGTGAGCCACCGCAGACACAGGCTGGTAGTCGTCAACGTCTGGATGATATGGCGAAGTTGTATCAATGGTGCTAGTGGGTTCACGCCCGTATAGCAAAAAGAATGGTGAAAATCCGGCGCTGGCTCGGGAGGTGGTGTTGTAGGCAAATGTGACAAACGGAAGAACAAGATCCCAATTGCAGTAGTCTGACGCAACGTACATAGACAACATGTCACCCAGAGTTCGGTTAAATCGTTCCGGTAATTCGTTTGTCTGCGGGTGATGTGCGGTAGGGGTGCAGTGAATAATTCTGCATTCGTATAGGAGTGATTGCAACACGTCTGAGAGAAATACATGGCCGCGATCACTGACCAGTTCATGAGGGGCGCCATGGCGGAGCACAAAGCTGCGTAGAATAAACGAGGAAACGTCCTTGGCTGTTGCGGAAGGTAATGCAGCGGTTTCGGCGTATCTTTACAAGTGATCCACGGCGACGACAGTCCACCGGTTGCCAGCACCAGTGCTTGGGAGAGGCCCGTACAAGTGAATGCCGACTCGATCAAATGGGTGGGCTGGCCAGGTAAGTGGCTGGAGAAGGGCTGTGGCGAGGTGCGAGACTGGCTTGCGTCGTTGGCAGGCGAGGCATGAGCGGACGTATTTGCAGACGAAGCTGTACATTCCGCGCCAATAATAGCGTAGGCGAAGGCGCGTGTACGTCTTGAACACGCCACCGTGGCCACACTGAGGGTCATCGTGGAAAGTGGAGCAGAGATCGCGATGAAGATGGTGGCGCACGACTATTAACCATGTACGGCCATCGTTTTGGTAGTTACGCCGATATAAAAGATCATCACGGATCGCGTAATGCTGCCCTTGGCGGCGTAGCGGTCGTGGAGCGTGGGTGGTCAGGGGGCTTGACAAAAAGTTTAGAATTGTGGCGATCCAAGGGTCATGTCGTTGCTCGGAGGCCATGTCCAAGATGTTGAGTGGCGAAATATTGTGATTGTCACTTGATGCGCTGGCGTCTGCAATGAGTGGGAAGCGTGACAGGGCGTCAGCATCAGAGTGTTGTTGGCCAGAACAATATACAACCCAGATGTCGTATTCCTGGAGTCGGAGGGCCCACCGAGCAAGGCAACCTGACGGGTTCTTGAGGTTTGACAACCAACACAGAGCGTGGTGGTCTGTTACGACGTCAAAAAGACGACCGTAAAGATAGGGGCGAAACTTCTGTAGAACCCATATTATGGCCACGCACTCTTTTTCGGTTACCGTGTAATCGGTCTCAGGTTTTGTGAGTGCACGACTGGCATATGCAACCACGTATTCGGCGTTGGCATTGTCACGTTGTATGAAGACAGCACCAAGACCGACACCACTAGCATCAGTATAAATTTCTGTTCGTGCGCTGTGAGCAAAGTGACGCAAACTTTGTGGAGACGTAAGCAGGCGTCGAAGTGTCGTAAACGCATCGTCACAAGCTTCTGACCAGGTAGATATTTCGTTGTCGCCTTGGAGGAGTGCATCGAGAGGTGCGATGACAGTAGCAAAATTATGAACGAAGCGCCAAGCGCCGAAAATATGACCATAGGCCAATAAATGTGCGCAGTGCTTTCAGCTTAGTAGGTTTCGGGAACTCAGATACGGCTTGAAGTTTAGCAGGATCAGGAAGAATGCCTTCTTTGGAGATGACGTGGCCTAGTATACTTAGTTTTCTAGCGGGGATTAGGCACTTTTTCAAATTAAGCTGGAGACCGGCATTTTGGACACAGGTCAAAACTCGATGCAACTGTTCTAGATAGGTCGGGAAATCTGGCGCAAAGACGACAATATCATCCAAATAGCAGAGGCAAGTGTGCCACTTCAAGCCGCGTAAGATTATTATTAATAATTATAGAATACTGCGGACAAAAATTCAAGCAGGGTGGGCATACATAAAACACAATAAATAACAGAATTAAACAAGGTTGCAAAACGTTTTTTATACAATTTCTTTGCATGAAAGACAGAAGAGTTATGACTTTAAAAAAGTAAAAATTGAACAACAAGGTTATAATACAATTCTGAGGAAGTCATGGAAGAATAGTATTTACATAAATGGTCAAGGGAGTTGAGGAAATGCTTCGGTTTGTTTATTCCAATCATCTATTGCTTATGGGAAGAAGGAGTACCTAAAGGTATCAGTCCTTGCGAAGATTGGCGTTAGAGAATGAGGATAGTGGGGCCGAGTGGGTCTGCTTAACAAGGAGGATACGCATGCTGCAGTGCCTAAGGATAGCCTAGGGTTTACTATGTCTGAAAAAAACTGTAGCCGAATTTTTTTCTTCAAATTTGTAATATTTCATATCATTTGCCGTTAGTAATGCAGTGGGGGAGTCGGTAGACATAAC